CTAGGAAAGGGAATTCCCTTCCCTCTTGCACTTCCTGGGAGCGGTGATGCCTCACCCTGTTTCCGCTCTCAATCGTTTGGCTGCACCCACTGTCCTGCACCCGCTGTCCAAGACACCCCAGTGAGATGAACCAGATACCTGAGTTGCAAATGTAGAAATCACCCGTCTTCTGTGTTGCTCACGCTGGGAGTTGGAGGCTGGTGCTACTCCTATTCAGCCATCTGGGCACCACCACCCTCCCCTCCGACTTTTTTTATTTTTAGATGGAGTCTCTCTGTGGCCCAGGCTGGATTGCAGTGGCACGATCTCGGCTCACTGCAGCCTCCGCCTTCGGGTTCAAGCGATTCTCCCGCCTCAGCATCCCAAGTAGCTGGGATTATATTGTGGGATCTGGCCAGCAGCCCACAATGCAACAGGGCTCTTTCTCTGTTCCCAGGTGGATTGGCAGGTCAAGAAATAAGACATACACAAGATAGTGATAGCCGGGTCCGGGGGTCAATGCCTTCTGGTCCTGTGATGCCGCCAACGCACTGGATATACCAGCATTTATTATTAAGTTTAGTGAGGGCGGGAGTAGGTTGGTGAGGGATTTAGGGTCGTTTAATGGTGAGGTGAGATGGTCACACGGGGATGAAGTAATTCTTTAACATAAGTTTGATTATGAGGTTAGATGGTCACATGGGCATAAGGTAATTCTTTAACATAACATCGGTATGCAGAAGTACAGTATACAGAGATGAGAATTTGCAACCTAGTGTGTGCATCAACAATTTCTAACGGAGCCTTAAAACAGAAACACATTCTATCCATAACCTATGATTAGCAAGATATTAATCAGCAGTAACAGTTGCAGAAAAGCTGGTTGCAAACAATCAATAGAAACAGGATGTGAAGCTAGACAACCAGTTAAACCAAAATATTCTCTGAAGGGAGTATGCCTTAACCCTAAAGAGACCTAGAAGAGCCGTGGCAAGATAAGGGCATTTATAACCCTATCTTATCCATATGAACAGGCGCCCCTCGTGTGTCCATTTATAGGCTCTCCACAAGGGTTATATTCCATTGCCAGAGCTATGAACATCTGCTTTTCTGGGATAGGAATCTTGGTGATGTAAAATCTCCCTGACTACACATCCATTATTAGGCTCTCTGCATGGGGAAGCACATCACGCACTGTTGGCTCATTGTGGCAGCCCAACCTGGCATTGTCTTTACACAATCCTGCATGCAATTTTGTATTTACAATAATCAGGAGCATTTCATCTTTTATTCCATAGCAATGGTTTCAGGGGGTCTCCCTACAGGACTACAGATGTGCAGCACCACACTAGGCAAATTTTTGTAATTTTAATAGAGACAAGGTTTCACCATATTGACCAGGCTGGTCTCGAACTCCTGACCTCATGATCTGCCTGCCTTTTCCTCCCAAAGTGCTGGGATTACAGATGTGAGCCACTGCCTCTGGCCCATAAACCACACATTTCTTTGAGTTTTTGAATTCCAATCCAAGAGAAACAATTTGATATTTGAAGGATGGCTGCACGCAAATATTTGCACACAAATAAAAATATTTGTAAATTGCACCACATGAGGGAGACTACCAGTATGACTATCAGGACGAAAATATCATGAGGCTGGAATATTCACCTTAAGCAAGATGCAAACCAACTACAATAGAATAGGTCAAGGAAGAAGCCAAAAGAGTCTAATCATTTTAACCAGGCAGCACATTTGTTGATTTTTACAACTGAGTCTCTATAATACCCAATGTATTTATCCATGTACAATAAGTGTCAGAAACTGCACAGGCTCCCCCCTGTTTAGCTGGTAGAGAGCAATTCTATTTTCTAGCATTGCATGTCTATGTTAAATTAAAACAGGGAGTGAGAAGAATAGGCAAGTATAGAAGTAGAAGCCTAAAAAAGCTCCATACATTTGAGGAAAAAGTTGTGTTAAAGATGCAGCTAACTTCAGCCTTTGGGTGGACTAAAGGATCTCTTGTTATGTAAAAATGTGTGAGCCACTTGCAGTGGCTTGTATCTGTAATCCCAGTACTGTGGGAAGCCGAGGCGTGTGGATCACCTGAGGTCGGAAATTTGAGACCAGCCTGACCAACATGTAGAAACCCCGTCTCTACTAAAAATACTGTTAGCCTGATATGGTTGCACATGCCTATAATTCCAGCTCCTAGGGAGGCTGAAGCAGGAGAATCATTTGAACCCAG